AGTTGGGCCTGCCCAGGGGGGCACATACATTGTTTTGGAGATTTTAAGAAGCGCTGATACCTCCAAAGGGGACACTGACTTGGGAAATATATAAGGAATACATTGTTTTTTAAATTTAAAAATATAAATGAGCTAGCAGAGGAAAGTCACAATTTATACTTATCTAGGTTGCTGTGAGCTAAAAGAACTAAGTCATAATTTATACAGCTTTATGCTGTGAAAAGTTTGAGAACCACCGATAAAATTTTTAAAAAATCATGTTCCATGGCTTCAGTTCACACGAACTGCTTGGTTGTTTTTTTTTAGTGACGGCTTCCAGATTTTTAGTCTTTACCAGCGAAACCCCGCAACCATGTTCCAAAATAACTTATTCTTTCGTACAATACCACAAAAAACGCAAAAAGCACCGCTGAGACATTCACATTGAAAAGTCAAATGAGAAGATGGGTAAGTCTCAACAGTTCACTTACTTCAACTGCGTGCTGCCGTTGTACTCACCGGTCTTAAGCAGCACTTCAGTCGGTGCGCTAATTGAAAATCGTGCAACATGGCCATACATAATACATGGCCATCGACCATGTTATACACCATATTAAACATATCTTAAGAAATAAAAATAAAAACTTAAAACCAACATGTTATACCGAGCAACACTACAATTAACCAATCAAAACCAAGCATCGTCATCATCGTCCCAACCCACACAAAAAGAGAGCTCCGGTGAGAAGTAATTCAACATTTTGAAGTTGGATACCGTGTGGACGTCAAATTGCTGGTAAGAATTTAAGGTGGGATTAAATAATTGGGGCCTATAGTTTCATCCATTTAATTAATTATCAACTTTATTCTTTTTGGAAGCTGCCAGAGCGGTGACGGAACTCGTTTAAACAAGCAGCTATTTGGACATTTTTATTACTAACCCTTAAGTCCTAAAGTAAATCAGAGCAATTTCTTTTAAAGTTTGAAGGAAAATAAAGTTATTGATAAAACAAATGGGACACATATATTTATGTTTTCACTTGTATATCTCATTGTCCACCTCAACCCACCCCCACTTTAAAGACAAAACATACAATAAAATCCATTTCTTTCACAAAGATGCAATCATGGCTTGAATACAAAATGAAAATGTTCTGGAAATTTAAAGTACAGAGATACATAGAACCTCATCCTTTAATTTTACTCTCGTGCGCTAATGTTAGAAAAATTCTGCACATATTTATATATTATTATACATATGATCAGCTTTAATTTTTGGGATAGTAAAATGAATACCTCATAACAATGGCAGTGGCGTGAGAAGAAGGTGTGTAGAGGGGGCCATTTTCGACCAGTTGGATAGAATTTCTTCATGATAAAGAGAGTGGGTGTGCAAAAAAAACTGAGCTAGCCCCCACCCCCGACCCCCACCCCCTGATATTCCTCGTCAATTTCTTTGGTTTCAAGGAGTAGCGGATTGTTGATGACGTCTTAGTCTTTTTGTCGTTTGGATATTTATTCAGAAAATATCTCGTAACAGATGTGTAGGAAATATTTCTGACAGTTGATGATCATAAGACTGAGTTAGAGGTGTGCAGAAACGTTTGAGTAAAGTTTCGCAGTCTTAGTAGTTGTATTAAATTGTAAATATACATATTCTGTGAAAACACATGTCTATTTTATGGAAATGTGGGTAACACGTATTTGCCGGAAATTCGAATAACTTTATATGGGGTTCATTTATTTTTTAATGATTTTTTGCTGTTGCAGATAATGAATGTCTTTTTTTTTTTTTTTGAATAAGTTACAACTACAGGAGGTCATAATTATATATTGTATTTAATGAATAGTTGTTGCAAAATTCACGAATTAAAAATTGTCCTTGCCGATAGAACAAGAAACAGGGGCAAATCCAAGGGGGGGGGGATTGGAAATTTATTTTTTAATGATTTTTTGATTTTGCAGATAATGAATGTCTTTTTTTTTTTTTTTGAATAAGTTACAACTACAGGAGGTCATAATTATATATTGTATTTAATGAATAGTTGTTGCAAAATTCACGAATTAAAAATTGTCCGTGCCGATAGAACAAGAGACAGTGGCAAATCCAAGGGAGGGGGGATTGGAAATATATGTTAACGAAATCCACTGTAGCATCAACAACAGTACAGTGAAACATGTAGCTTGTACACCTGCCATCGAACTGGTCTGCATCACTTTTAAGTCATTTTACCTGCCTAGGGAGTTCACCCAAATCTGTATCATCCTCACTTACATCCCACCTGATGCTAACAAGCTGCAGGCTATTGAAAGACTTTTGGATGTAATCCATGAAAACTAAGACTCCGAAAGTCTGGCACTCAGCGTGCTTCCCATTGAAGTCACCAAAGTTTAATAAGAACTAAAAAGTCCGTGATATGCCTAGGTGAATTCACTGAATGGATTTCTTTTTTTCCACCAGTGACTTAATTTAATGTTGATGTGCCTCGTGTTCACATTGTTTTATTTATTTGCTGAAAATGTACAATGCAATCAAATCTCCATTTGTTTGGATCAATAAAAGAATCTTATCTTATCTTATCTTATCTTATCTTATCTTACATCGTCAGTCCTAAGCTAATGAAATGGAAATGAGGCCCGTGCCAAGGGGCACCGCGCCATTTACGTCCCAGTGACAAGGTGGGTGTGTGGGGGGCGTGGAGATTGATTTTATCTTGAATTTACTTGTAATGATTTGATGTGTGGTGCTGCTGGGCACTTCGGACATCTATTGATGTGTGGTGCTGCTGGGCACTTCGGACATCTATTGATGTGTGGTGCTGCTGGGCACTTCAGACATCTATTGATGTGTGGTGCTGCTGGGCACTTCGGACATCTATTGATGTGTGGTACTGCTGGGCACTTCGGACATCTACTAACATAGCCAATTATAGAAATGGGGAGTTAATCGTCGTCTGATATTCAACACCGAATAAACAGACTAGTCAAGAAAGCTAGGAACATAACACAAACAAAACATCCTTTACTTGAAGAACTATTTGAAGAAAGATGTTATTGTAAAACTTAACAAGTTTTGGATGATCCATCCCACCCTCTTCATCACAGATACTCAGGATCGGGCCGTTCGGGACGCATTCTTTCTCTCATTGCGAGGACTGAAAGATATAAAAATTATTTTGTTCCCCAATCTGTACGAATTTACCAGCGTGTTACCCCAAAGTCACACATCTACATGAAAAATAATAAGTCCCTGATATGGCTAAGAGAATTCACATGATGGCTATGTTGTTTTTTCCACTAGTGAAATAATTTAATGTAGATGTCTTGTGTTCAGATTGTTTTATTTATGTGCTGAAAATGTACAAGGCAATCAAAAAACCTCTCCATTTGTTTGGATCAATAAAAGAATCGCATCTTATCTTGTCTTATCTTAAAAGGAAATGTTAAAGAAAAAACACAAGTCGTCAACTGTTACCAAGAAGGTTTCATCAAAGGAAGGGTTTCATTAAAGGAAGGGTTTCATCAAAGGAAGGGTTTCATCAAAGGAAGGGTCTCATCAAAGGAAGGGTTTCATCAAAGGAAGGGTTTCATCAAAGGAAGGATTTCATCAAAGGAAGGATTTCATCAAAGGAAGGATTTCATCAAAGGAAGGATTTCATCAAAGGAAGGGTTTCATGAGATTGTCATCTCTGGGGAACAGCACGGGGGAATGGGATTAACAAGTGCAGCGTCTTCTAATTGAGTCGAATTAACTACCAAAATTATGAACTTAAATAACTTTTTCCTTACTCAGTCGTGATACTTTACAAAATGTTGACTCGTACTACACGTGACAGATAGGGATTTTTAAGGCGAAGAGTGTGTGTAGAGGGCAGAGGCGTGCCTTAACAAAATTGAAGCCCCGGTCGAATTCCCAAAAGTGCGCCCGATTTATACAATGTTAGGCCACAAGTTTATCCTGCGGCAGTCGCCCATTCGCAACCCCAGTGTACGCCACTGGGGAGATGCAATTTAAGGGTTACCTAGGGGTTTTCACGGGTTCTTAATGTAATAATAATAATTAACATTATTTGAAAATCACTTTTCATCCCCAAAGGCTCGAAGCGCGGTACAAAGTCACCCATGTTAAGAGAGAAATGAAAACAAATATTTTACCACATTGAAATACAAAACGCAACATTACAAAAACTACATAGGAGAATACCCATTCTAAGTCTTGCATCCCTTGCAAACATAAACAACACAGCACTGTACATCGTGTTATAGCACCTTCAAGACTCCATTTTATGCAAACACAGCTATCCCTCTACTCGTTTATAACAGATTTGAATCTTATTGATCAAAATGTCCACACCTCCCTTCCCGGAAGTAAACAACACGTGGTTGGAGGCGGATCTTGTGACGTGGCACCTAACGGAAGTCATCGTCCTGCCATTCGTGATTCTTGTGGGCACCGTGGGAAATCTCTTCGTGCTCTACATCTACCACTTCCGGTGGCAGAGCAACATGGACACCCTTTTCAAACGTGTAAGAGAAACGTGTTTCATTGTTTTTTTCCTGGTCATCAGGCTCACACACTGCAGCAGCGCCATATGGCCTTGACTTTAAGTCTCGAGATGACAAACAATACTTAGTCTGTTTTTTTAAGATTATGTCAACATGTATACAGCAAATGAACGGTTCACCAACATGAGCAGTGCTGTAGCAAATTTCCAAAGCATTTAGATCGTTGCAAAGAATGGGGTGGTATTTATTTTATTTTACTTATTTATTTATTGGGCTTGGGGGCGGGCGCCTTTTCTTAAAAAATCTTGTGTTGCGTCTTCCTACAAAAATGTAATTTAATCATTAATGACACATAAATGTCAATTTTGTCACATCTATTTATTGTGTAAAAAATGGTGTTTTTATTTTTCAACAGAAGAATAATCTATGGATGCATGTTATAATATATGAATGCATGTTATAATCTATGACTGATTGTTATAATCTATGTATGCATGTTATGCGTATTTCGCTCCTTCTTTCAGATGCTGGCCTGTCTTGACCTGGTCGACCTGACCCTGTCCATCCCCACGCTCCTCTACATCACCGTAGTACCAAACAGTGATGTCTTCCTGCCATGCTGTGTGTTCATGTCGTACGTCGCCCTGTGGACGGCCGTGGTGTCCGGTTACGTGCTGGTCATCATCGCGGTGGACAGGTTGTTGTTGTTTGATATCTGTTAAGACAGGGATGGTCGAAGAACTTGTTTGAAAGATAGCGGGTTATAAGCTCAGCCCATTCCTTTAACCGAGCCTCGAGTTACACACAGATCATGTTATGGCCAAATATGAAATGGTTTCGGAATCGGCTTTTTTAATAACTATACTCAAGGGACGATAACAAATATGCCGTTTTCATATGTAATCGATTTCGTTCAATGTATTCAATTGTTAAACACAAAGACGGAATAACCCCTAAAATTAATATCTAACTGAATGTCCTTTTTAATTTTTTTATATTAACTTCGCTTTTCTGTGATATGGGCCTAATCTTTGGACGGCAAACTGGCCCACTTCTCGTCAACCTATTTAGCTGAAATTTAGCATATAGACTCGTTGCCATTGGCAACACATTCTTTCAAATTTTCAGCCCATCATTTCAACCCCAACCCCCAAAATTCAGTTTTTCCTGTTCTTCAAGGGGAATATGAAAGAAATATGATGGAACTGATTTCATGAAATAAAAATTCCCGATAACTGTGCTAAGTGAGGTTCTTTTTCTTTTTTTTTTAAAATCACAATTGCATTTTGTGTGTAAGATTTTCTTCTTCTTTTTTTTCATAGCTGGTGAAATAAATCTGCGATGTAAAGGCGGGTGGGGGCATAAGAATATTAATATAAATAAAATCATAAATTATGTTTACGATAAACTTTGTTTTTGGGGTGTTCTTTAATTTATTATTTAATCCTATAAATATTTTGCAAATTTTAAAGTTGGTATTTCCTAATTTTTTTTCCTTGTATAAATACATTGATATTTTATTTCATCACCAGATATTTGAAACTTTGCCTCCTTCGACAGACCGGTCTCGACAGCGGCCTCGTGAAAAAACTCTTCGCCGGAATCATCTTGTTCTCCAGTGTGTTGAACATCCCATGCGCTTGGGTGTTCGGGCGAGACACGGTCTTCTTCTATCAATACAATGTCAAGGTCGGTTACTGCTTCCTGGACAGCCACGGCAAGCAGGGTCCGACCCTGATCGCCTACGCCAGCGTCCTGTGCCTCGTGTTCCTGTCCATCTGGGGCTCGCTCGTCGTGCTGTACTACAAGATCATTTTAACCCTCAGGGAGCTATCCGCGAAACACAAACAGCTGAAGTCGCACGCGGTCGAGCCGGGTGGGTCCGAGGCTAACAAAAAAACTGAGGCAATGCGGAAGTCGTCACTGGTGTTCATTGCTGTGACGGTGGCTTTCTTCTCCTGTTACACTCCTTACTTTTTGACGATCGTGCTGTCGACGTCGAGCCCCCAGCTGGAAGGAACCATGGGTCCGCCTCTGAAAGCTGTTTACGATCTTGCCAAGGTCAGTCCGTTGCTGAACCGCATCGTCAACCCGTTGATTTTCACATTTACATCAGATCAGTTCCGTAAAGCTGTAGTTGATGTCATCGCATGCAAGGGAGGCTGCAGTCAGTTCTTCAAACGCAAGGGATCCCCTTGAAGTTTTATGAATCAAAACAATGTATGTTTTAAGAAGAACTTTAATTTTATTTTTTAAAACAATAATAAACCGTAAACATGTTCCTCTATAATGTTTTCATCAAGTTTATTTACGTAAACTAACGGAATAAACCATAATGTCTAAACGTCAACAAAGCAATCAGGAATATTTTAAGAAAATAATGTATTTTCGTCATTTTATATTTTTAAAAAAAAATCATTTCTCTTTCTCCGTAACCTTGGCTTTTTCAATATATTTTTTTGAAAAATGTTTTAATCGATTTCCAGCTTATTTGGGATTGTTATAAACGTATAAGTCGCATGAGGCTTTTTACCTAATCTAAAATCCCATGCTTTTGCCCTAGTCGAATATTTATAGTGCCTTTTAAGGGCCTCCGCTCTGTGAGATCTGTCGAGTTGGCATTAAATAAAACTATAATTTATCAATTATGAAACTATCAACCGCTAGTCTGGGCCGTGCAATGGATTTTCGGGCCCAGTGAAAATCTAAATACTTAACCCCTACTTAAATTTCCGCCCTTGGGGGGCCCCCAAGCGGGCACGGCCCCGATGGATTAATGGTTTGCCTCGGCTTCTGCGCGGCCCTGCCCCGGGAACAGTGGAGTAGTGATAGCTCATGTAGTTTAGTAAAGAACTAACACCTTGCACAGAAATACACATTTCAACAGCCCTACGTTAGTGGCATAGCGCGGTGCATATCTCAAAATCACACAAATGACATACGATTTGAAACTAAAGAAATACATACCAAACACAACTGTACACACATGTAATAAAACCTTCCGCCGTAAAAATACATATCCAATAAATAGTGACGTAGCTAGAGTAAGTGCAGCCCGGGGCGAGGCAGGAATTTCGACTCTCCTTACACACACAAAAAAAAAACTCCACTGTTAGTGGAAAATGACGCCTTCTCCGTATAAAGAAAAAGTGTCGTGAGGACTACCCTCTAGACGGCACCTTTCTCACGCCACTGACAATAAGAGTACATTTTCATCACGTAATAACACATTTTTAGACACCTTACCAATCTTTTAATTTTGATCTACCCACCACTTCGCGCCTTTCTGAACGATTCACTAAAATAAATTCTAAATTTCTCTTTCTGATATAACCATTGACAGAATGATCACCAACAAAATTCACTTAAACTCCTTAAACTCTTGGCTGCGTACGTTTTACGGTTACTCTCAAAACCAGTCGATTTACATTTACTGACCCGAGGCTCACAGGCGGCTGTCAACGTCATGCACAGTCGATTATGACACTTTCTGAACATCACGAAGCTCACCTCGGCGGTCATCAGCATCTGCCACGCCTTTTTCATCGATATTTTTGTCGCATTGTAATGGTTGTATACTTATGGCTATTGACCGTAATAATATTTTATACAGTTTTTTTTTACTTAGATTTGTTTTAAGGCTGTTATCTGAGTGATGGGTGGCCTAGCAGCCGAAACTGAGTCAACACCAAGCGACATATAGATAGATAGATAGATAGATTTATAGATAGATAGATAGATAGATAGATAGATAGATAGATAGATAGATAGATAGATAGATAGATAGATAGATAGATAGATAGATAGATAGATAGATAGATAGATAGATAGATAGATAGATAGATAGATA